TCAAATACACAGATCTATCTCACATATATTTTTGTCCAAATCTATCAGATCTATCTCAAATCTCATATCTATTTTTGTCCAGATGCTATCTTGCTCTCGTTTTGGCCCAAATCTCTCTTGATCTCTTTCTTGCTCTCGCTCTCTCGCTCTAGCTCTCGTCGTCCTCGCTCTCGTTCTCGCTCCCTCTCGCTCTTGCCTAAATCGCTCGGATATCTTGCTCTCGCTCGTCCGCACTCGAATCCGACAATGGTGATGGCGACAAGAGTAGCCGATCTTGGTGGAGCGTATGATGGGGGTAATTTACATGATTTTTTTAATTATTATTATTGTTATTTGCCGATTATCTACATTATTTGCCTCCAATGGGGAAACTATTTTTGACTAGTTTATTATCATGTACAAATCAATGTAATATATTATTTTTAATTAAATAAAAATTTTACATGAATTTAATTACATTAAGTTGTTAAAAATGGTGATCCTTTGAATATAGTGTAAATTTTTCCATATTACAATTCACCAATCTACTCTATTAATGCTTTAATATAGTTTTAAATTATTTGTACTATTGTTATAAAAATTCGAAATAAACAATAAAAAAAAATTTGTCCGAGCCTGAATTTGAATAAAATTAATGTATGAAAAATCAAAATTAACAAATTTTAAGCCTGCCAAAGCGAGGATAATTGGTATGGTATATATCTCAGTGTAGATGTTGCGATGAATACAACATGATATGTGGACTAATCAAGTTAGCTCGATGTCGTCGGATCCGTCCAACTAAACCAACGTAGCAACCAACCTACATTTGGGACCGAGCTACCAGCTAGAACTCAACCAGAGAAATACCCAAGTTCTCTTCAACCAACGTAAGGACTCCGACCTCAAGCCCGATAATCGACCTAGAGCCCAACAGCTCATAACCACCGATCAGAGCAATTCCAATGACCTTGTCTCCCCCCACTACCTATAAAAGGGATATTCTGCCACACTGCCATTCACTCAAGCTCGCGCCATATTGATTTGAACGTTAGAGTGTTTGTTTCTTTTTCAGGTCCTTCTTACTTCAGGTTGCATATTGTTAACTCGTCTCTATTGTCACATGGCTAACCTTCGGTAGCTCGACATAATTCTACATCAACAGAAATGTCGATGTCTTAATTTCATGGAAATGTCAATGGAAATATTGATAAAATATCGATATCGATGTATATTTCTAAAAATATTATAAAAATAAAATATTTGTGATAAATATTTAAATCAACAAACAAATATTTCACTATTTATAAATAAGTTTAAAATGATTAATTAATAATATGTTGATATTTTGTCAATGCTCTTCATATTTTGTCAATTTTTTTGTATAGTATTATGAAAATGTCAATTCACGGCCTCATATCAATGTTAAATTTGTAGTCACATAGATATGTCGATAAAAATATCGATATATGAACGAAAATTTAATACTCTAACTTTTTTTTTTACAAAAATAAAATAAAATAAAGTTAAGTCTGCATAGAAAAACAAGTAGAAAAATAATTAGTTTAATATATTGTTTGCTTAAATGGTTTTATTGTAATTTACCAGAAAAAAAGAAAAAGAAAAAAAGAATCGTGGCACATCTCTCGTCTTCACTTTCAGCTTCCCTCCGTCTGCAATGGCTGCCTCCAACTCTGACTCAATTCCTCCAATGGTTTGTCTCTGAAACTACGAAGTCACGTTTTTCTATTCTGGAACGCACGGCGGAGGGCCATGGCAATGCCGTGGCATATGGCGTTTTGGATGGCCGAGATGGTTTGGATAGCTTTGAGCGGCTGGATTTCTTCTTGCTTGGCCTTCGCCGACGAGGTCGCCGGCTCTATCAGAACTGGCGATATTGGCCCTTTCCATATTGGCTGACCGCAGCTTCGGCTTCATCGATTCGGAACGCTCTGGTTTGTAAATCGGATTTTTCTGATTGTTTTCCATTTTGGCTTTCTCCGTGTCAATTATTAGTTGCTTTGACTTTTGGAGATTGAATGTTGGTTTCGCCTTCCTCTTCTTTTCTTAATTGTTTGTGTTGTCTGGTGATTCTGTTCCTGAGCTGATTCTTGTCCATCGGAACTGCCTTGTGATTTTCCTATCTCGGACTTGTGCAAATTATGCTCTTCAATTGCTCGATAATATTAGGGCTATTCTCTGGATCCTCGTGATGGACTGTGATTAGGAATGCCATTGCGGAACAATTATTGTACAGAATCTTGTGTTATTCAAGAAATTGAAAAGGTTGCAATTGCAATATGAGACGTGAGTGGTATTCTTTCAACTTCTTGCTAGCAAGCTTAAATGGAAAACATAGGGTAGGGTTTCCAATTTCAGATCCAGTTTTTTTTTTTTTTTTTTTTTTAATAATTTTGCACATTTTTGGAAAAGTTTGGAGTGCTAATATGCAAAGTTTTTGTGGCTGTATTTTTCAGTAGTTCATCATTATGGATGTGATTGATACTCTACAGATCCCTGTTAAACCGAGTCTCTTACGGACTGATACTAACTTGAGTCTAACTCAGTGTCCAAAAAAAAACTTCAAAATCAGTTCTTTTTTAGTGTAATTTGATCATTGATCATTTGAATTATGCCATTTTCATCCGGAGAAGGTTTAAATGGTGAAAATATGGTTTTAACTTCAGAGTCTTCATTTCACTGTTGAACTCCCATATACTAAATCTGATTTTCTTCATCAATGAGATGAGATGGGTATTATTCAGTTACTGTGGAGTTGTTTATGCTCTCTCACGTTTTCTACTCTTTCACTCTGCAATCTATTATCAGTTCCCTACTTTACTTTCGAGGTAATTTTCAATTGAATATTCTCCTACTTTTCGGAGTTTACCTCACTTGAATTGATCGATACGTTAACTATTTGTCAATATCAGATATTTCCTACTGTTTTATGATAAGTGAAAATTAGCCAGAAGATTATTTGTTTGGCCTTTGGGATATATGGTTTTATGGGGCATCCTAGTCTGTAAGTAGGAGCCAGTCAAGATATTCTTTAGATTTCTAACACTCTAATTGTCTTTAATATATCAGACGACTCTGCCAACTCGGTGATTAATATCTGTAGTGAATCTAGAAAAAGATGGCTGGTTCTAATCTATTTTGTATAGATCTTATCCTCTTAGTGAAGCTCTCAAAGTGCAAATTTACATGTAATTGTAGCTATTAGTCCATGTTATGGGTGGAATTTTAAAATAATTATACGCCTGTGTGACACTAATTGGTCAGGTCACATAAGTAGATTGTGACACACACATGCCTAGCAAGGCAAGATGAGAATGCCTAGCTTAGAGCAACGTAGAACAAGCATACTTGTAGAGCTAAAGTGAGAAAGTTCATCTTGATGTAGCTACATGCCCCAGCAAAAAGGTCATTGAAACATCCTCAAGTTGGTGGATTTCTAGGTGCTTAGACAGATTTTGAGGTTGGAGTACCTCAAATAGTTATTCTCCTTTAACAAGCTAATGAACGGATGACACATATCCCTATAGCTATAGATTAGGTCATTGTTCCTTACAAGCTAGATATGTGAGGGTCGGGGAGCTCATCCCAGTGCAATGAAACCTACTTGTCTGGCAAAGAGGTCAATGAAACTTCCTCGAGGTGGTGGCTTGGCTAGAAATTATTCACCTTTAGCCAGCTAGTGGACAAATGACACACGACCATAGAGCGTTGGGTCATTGTTCCTGATAAACGAGATATGTAGCCATGGAGGAGTTGACTGACTAAAGCTTCCCCAACTTTCGAATCTGTAAATTTATGTTTGTACGCCTGCCAAAGATGATAAGCACTTACGTAATTGTCACGATGTGCTCTGCCTTTATATCTATTAAAGTCTAGCACATAAAATAATAGCAATGACAAATCTCATTTCACTTGTAGTAGACTTGAGAGGTAATATGATTGATTAGTGCAGAAACAGACAACTATAATTGTATGGTCTAAACATTATAAATTTCCAGATCCTACTCACATGATTAGCAATGGTACGAGGGTGGAATTTTATTTTACTGTTTCCCCCCTCTCAATAGGTGAAGAATGAATATGTTTTTTTCATATGCAGGTAATCGGAGAATGGCAGATGCAAAGATATTTTGATGAGTACAAACTATAAAAGCTGAGGAACAGAAGTTCTTATACTGGACTCTGGCTACTGCTTCAACTTCCATCCTGAATTGGTAAATTTTGTATATTCTTGAGTCGTCTGCATGTTTTATGTAGTTGGAATGCTATGCTATGGCCCTGAAATCAATTTTCTGTTTTTTTTTTTTTTATCATGATTCAGAAAATAGCCACGAGAAATTATCTTCATGTATCACTAACATGTTAGTTCGAATTAATTGTTGAAAATAGTTTTCAAAATCGCAGAAGAGGAAAAAAGTTCCTACATTGATATATGTGAAAGCTGAAAGTTTTTTCTTTAGAATGAAAATTTAGTTGAAAACATGTTTTTGTTAGTTAGTCAAAAAATGTTTGGATGTTTTTTCAGTTTGTCGAGAATGTTAGGGTGTCTTTTCAATTTAGGCTTTATTGTTTAAATTTTTTTAATTTAGTCTTATCTTTTAAGAAATTTCAATTATACCATTTCGATTGAGGAACATCATTAAGTTTACATGACATAATACTCAGTAAGTTGGAAACAATTTTAGATGATGAATTAGGCTATTGAAAAGAAGAAAAGTAGTCAACTTAAGCATAGTCTAACTGATTAAGTCACCTATTTCCGATCAAAAGGCCGTGAATTCGAATCCCTATTTCACATGTTGTACTAAAAAAAGTCCAAATTTTTGCCAACTTAGGAATTTGGAGGAAAAATTAGAAATATCATTATCTTAGATAGTTTATTTCATCCACTAAATTGATGCGGGCTCACGAAGTATTATGTCAGGTATGCTTATCAATAGCCAATTTTAACATAATTGAAATAGTATTTTTCTTTTTAATCTTTCCTCGAACTTTCTGGTGAGCTTAATACCAAAAATCCTTAAAGTCTCTCGGGTCCAAGCGTTGGAGTGGGCACGGGTGCCTCTGGGTATAGGGGAGTAAAGCTTCGATTCTCAATTATTAAAAAAAAAAAAAGAAGAAGAAGAAGTTGCGTAGTGTTTAATAATTATGAGCCATTCAATTATTTTGTAGAATAAGGTGTCTATTTCCAACAAACTTATAATTGTATGATTGGAAGTCTGCCTTTTGTTTGTGTCCTCTATGAAAAATACATGATTTTAATTAACTCTGGTTCTGGCCATAATCTGTTGAAAGGGAATAATAAATAATAGGTGGAATATCTGGTTAGAAATGAACAATAGCTTGTTTAATGTTTTTTTTTTATTACTTTTATTTTTTATGGAGACTTTTATAGGGTTTTTGGGCTTCTACCGAGGGATTATTGTCTCGTCTTTTACCGACTTTTGAAGACATTATTGTTTTTTTACCAATTTTTTTCAAAATTTATGTTTTCTAATTTTGCTCACATCACATTTCTCCTCCTCTCTCTCGCTCAACTGTCTCTCTCTCCTTAAATTTTAAATTTGAATATCAAAGGACTACAATTAAGGAGATTGGGAGAGGTTGAGATTCTGTTTCTCTCTATTTCAATATTAAAATTTTTAATTAAAAAAATATTTAATCTCTAGATTATTTGTTAATTATTTTAAATTTGAATTTGACCATATCTCTTCTTCTCTCTCCATTTCTTTCTCAGATTTGATAAGTTTAAAATTCCTTTAATCAATTTCTCAATTTATTTCATTTCTTTCTAAAGTAATTATGACAAAAATAAAAAATAAATAAAAATCTGTAAAAGGGGTGAGAGTGGAAAGAAATTAAGGATCCAAAATTATAGCAATTATAGCAAGTTAGAAATATTTTTAATCAATTTCTTCTCAAATTACAGCAGACCAGAGATGAATAAAGAATAGAGAAAAAATCAGGATGAAATGAATCTTTTTCTTTCTCCAACTAGGTCATATGTATTGTTTTTAGTCTCCATCGTGTTCTCCATCAGATCCTTTTGAGCTTAGTCAGCTCTTGATCTCGCTCACAATCTCTGCTCTTGTTCTCGCTCAAAACCTCGCTCTCGCTCTTACTCTTACTCTCACTCTTGATCAGATCCAACTGGTAATCGGCAGATTTTAGAGAGAGAGGTGTGAGGAAGAGGAAGAGAAAAAGTTCAAGATTTTTCAGAGGGGTGTGAGGAAGAGATAGTGAAGGGTGTGTAGAAGAAAGAGAAAAATTGGGTGTGGAGTGAGGAGGTGTGAGGAAGAGAGAGGGAAGAGAGATACATGTAGGTGTGGTGTGAGGGGAGGAAACCCTATTTGAGAAAGAGGGTTTGAGGAAGAGGGAGGAATATTAATTTTTATGGTTGAAAAAATCAAGAACAAAATAATAATAATGAAAATTAATTGGATTAGTACATAGATGATTTATTTAGAAATCATAATTACGTTAAATGATTGAAATGTATAGAATTTTCACTTTTGCATGAAACAATCGTAATTAAATGATACCCATCATACAAATTACTAGTATATTCTTTTAAGGATCGATCTCAATATTAAATAAGTGGATATATATTGTAATTTTGAATATATTTTTTTGAATGTGCGGATATATATTTATTGAGACTTTAAAAGATGTTTCTGTGAATTAAGGTTTTGAATGAATGAATTAAGAGATGTATGTTGAAAATTAACATGGGGCCACAATAATTAAAGGATTATGATAATAATTTATGGAATTAAATCTTTTATATTAAAAAAACAAATAACTATAGTAAATATAAATAGGTAAAATCGAAATTAAAATAAAATCCCTAAAACAGCAAAAGACATTATCTCCTCTCTTCCCTCTTTCCTCTTCCTTACTCTCGCTCACTCTCCTCTTCCTCTTGCTCTCTTCCTCTCTTCCCTCTCTCCTCTTCCTCTTTCTCTCTTCCCTCTCTCCTGTTGTTCTCTCTCCTCTTCTTCTCTCTCACTCTCATCTCTCCTCTTCGTCTCTTCCCTTTTTCTATCACTCTCTCTCATCTCTCATCTCCTCTCTTCTATTCCCTGGATAGAAAAAAATAGAGAAGAATGAGAGAAAAATACCCATGAGGAAAAGAAAGTAGAGAAAGAATGCATTAATGGAAAATGAGAGAAAAAAAATCTAGAAAAAGAGAGAGGGAAGAGGGAAGTAGAGGGAGGAAAAATTCTGGAAAAAGAGGGATGAAACAAGAGAGAAATCTAAACAAAAAAAATGAGTGAAGGGGTAATGAAAGTAAATCGGTATCCAAACTGATATCAGCAAAGATTAGAAAACATAAACCAACATAGGTTTTGAAAAAAGTGGGTAAAAAATAATAAGACTATTCAACCCAACAACCCACTTTTATAGGTAGCGGTGTAAATGATTCGGTTTGATTTCTGTAAAAATGAGAAAACCGAGTTTGTTTGTTTTATAGAGAATAAAACCAAATCAATTCGGTTGATTCTTTGTTGGGTCTCCATAAGAAGTTGAAAACAAAATATTTTGTTCAGATTTTGAAACAGGAATTAAATACTAGATTCATTCTTCCAATATATATTTTGAGAATATTCAACAAGGTTGCAAATATAAGTTTAATACAAATTACACATCACACAAAGTTAGTAACATTAAAATAGGCTCAATTTTAATCCCATTACTAGTTAGACTCCTTCCGATTCCAGTTACAACTAGGGTTTATTTGAAGATGATTTTAAAATGAGTGGTTTTAGTAAAAAAATAAAATAAAATTTGGATGATATTTGATTTTTTGAAAGTTATTTGTATATAATTATTTTAATGTTTGGTTACAAGTGATTTTTATATCATTAAAAATGATTTTGAATTATAAATATTTAAAATTTTCACAAATTTTTTAGAGAAAAAAGTTGGAGAGAAAAAAATTATAGATAGAGAAATAAACTGAGAAAAGAGATGTGAACTAAAAATTTTGGAGAAAAAATTAAAAAGAATAAACAAAATAAAATATAAATAAAGTTAGAGAGACAAAAATCTTTAAAAAAATGGAAAAAAATCAAATTTAAGGTGAAAATAGGGTGAATAGAAAGACAAATTTGAAAATTGAAACAATAATCATTTTAAAATTTATTATTCTATTCATTTTTTTTAATAAAAAATCATTAGAGATTCACCTTCTAAGTGATTAACCGAAACTTAGGGTGTGTTTGTGAGTAAATCGTTTTAGCCATTGTCAAAATCACGTTTGCCATTGTCGAAATCACACTTGCCATTACCAAAATAACTTCTATTTTCATTGATCATATTTGGCAAATTAAAGAATTGATTTTAGGAAAACATAAAATCATTTAAAATTAAATTTTAAGGTATAACTTGGATGGTGATTTTAGAAAATCAATTATTTTTAAATCTTTTTTTTTTTTTCAAAATCACCACATTCCACCATAACTCCCAAACACACCCTTACTTAAAGTGGATTTTGAGATAAAAGTGATTTTGGCATGAGTAAAAGTGATTATAGTCATGCCAAAACCACTCCTAAACATGCCCTAATTCTATTATGCAACTTATGCGAATTACGAAAAATGCATTTTTATTGTGTACCCTTTCTCTTTGTGGTATTTCATCCTTGTCTACTTTTGGTCCAAAGATGATATTTCTAATGATATTTGGTTGTATTTATCGATTTTTGCATTTATAACTTATTCTACATCAAGATTAATAGCATTTTTGAGGATATTTAATCCTTCATTTTAAAAATTACAGCAGAAAAACAAGTAGCTCCTTTTATTCAATATTTTTATCGGGTAAAGAAGGATAAAAAAATATCTTTTTTTTAATCAAATCATTATTAACCATGAATAATAATGAAATGTTTTTTATTTAAAAAAAAGCAACTTGTGTAATTGATAGTAATGTAACAAAAATCATCGTGTTATAAAATTAAGGAGTAAAATGAAGCACTACGAGTACACGAACAACGAGAAAAAACACAAATGGACAAAATATATATAAAAAACACCAAAATTATAAAAGAAATGCACAATATTTTCAAATGGAATTTCCCACCAAATTGTATCACTTAACGACACATTACCCTTATTTATAGTCAATTGAGGAACCATGAGGTGTAAAGAAATGGATAACACTAAGTATCTACTAGACATGTGGAGCATTTAGGGATTAAACATATGGGAATCTGGGAATTAGATACATGCACATTTTTAGGACACTAAGCAAATGAGCATCTATATTTTAATAATTTTATAAAACTCTCCCTTAGATGCCCATTGTTAGTATGAAATATGCTTCGTTAAAACCTTACTAGGAAAAAACCCAATGGAAAAAAAAATATTAGGGAAGGAAAAAGAGTACATATTTCATATAATCTGCAATGTCTTCAAACTC